TTGCTATACTTTTCTTAAATTCTGTGTTTGACCTCTGGCCCCATATCTAATCATTTTCCTCCCTAAATCTCTTTCTCTTCTGTCTTCTCACGGCCTCCAGCACTTGGTTGCTGCTGCCGGTGGGGTCTCTCCCAATTGTCTTTCCACAGCTTTAAGGCCACACACCCCTGGCTGTGCCCCCTGCCTTTCCAGCCCCTGTACCCCACCTCAAGCACGCTGGGTGCCCCTCCCCAGCCCTGCTGCTGGTGCTGCATAGAACACACTTTCTCCTTTGTCCACCTGGCAAGTCTTGCTGATTCCTAGAACTATAGCTAAGTGTCAGCTCCCCAGCAAAACTTGTCCCCACTCAGCAAGCAGGACCCAGCTCTGACTTTGTGAGCCCAGGCACTTCCTGTTTCCACACTGCACTGTCGTTCCCTGGTTATGTCCCCTCGTCCCCTGTGACAACAAAGCCCATCTCCATCCTGATGGCTAGTGTAATGCTGGTATTATTGTTCAGTAGCCGTAATTACTGAATAGCGGAGGTCCTGAACGCTTTGGCACTGGTTAGTAGAGTGGTTAGAAAGGCAGCGCATACACAATGCAGTTCTAGTTACAAGACCGTAGTTTGTTGTTCAAACTGTGGCCCCTCTAGGGCTGGGCTTAACTCCTCCTGGTGCCCATGAGAGATGGTTTAGCAAATGTGCAAACAAGATATGGATATGGGCTTTTTCAGAATTCTTCCTATCAAGATCTAAAGATAATAAACATTTTAGTCATTGGCAGCAAAACACCAATGAGAAATACTGTCTACGAGAAACCCTCAGGATGTCTAAATAGTGATGCCTGGATCTGGGAAGAGAGTTGTAGGCTAGTGCCATTATTCATTGACTTGGGAATCTTAGTCTGGGCCTGGTATTGAGTCATTGCTTTTTAGGAGCCTTTGGGGCATACAAGTGCTGAGTACGGATGGAGACCACTATTTCCCATAACACAGCCAGACTGATTTTCAGGACTAATGTCCTCTGTCTCCACACATGCTCCTTAACCAAGTCCTCAGATTCTGGGTCACAAAGCGCTTATCTTTTGATGAGGGGCCAGAGGGGAGATTGCTTGGCATCAAAGGGCCCTGCATTAGCCCTTTGGAAGGGAGGAGAGGCAGCCCAGGTACAGGACAACCTGGAGGGGCAGGCCTCGATTTTGCCAGGACCAGTCCTGATAAGGATGGTGTCCTTGTGCGCTCTGTGTGTGAAGAAAAGCATTTCTGGCTCAAGGTTTGTTATCTCCTAGGCCCGCCAGGGAAGACATAGAGTGAGGTGTTAAAAAACAAAATTCAGCTGAGTACATTTGAAGATCTAATTGGCCTTATTTACGGTTCACGAATTGGGCAGCGTCCCATCTAGCAAATAGAAAGGAGCTCCAAGAGGCCGTATAAAATGGAAGGCTTTTATAGACAGAAAGGAGCAAAAAAAAAAAAAAGTTTCTAGCAGAGTGGATGGAGTGAGGGGGCTGTTATCATGCAGTTTACCTCACTAGTGCTGATCAGGTAATTCCAGATTGATGGGTTCAAAGTCACATCCCTGGGAGAGGCAGAAACTGCAATTAAGTCTCAATTTGCTGATTTGGGGCTTAGCACAAGTTATTCCATTTTGGGCTTGTTGTTTCTTTTTTAACAGAGGGAACATTGATCTGACACAAACCTGAACATTAAAGTAGCTGGAGTGGTTGTGCACTAGTACATCTTTTACTCTACATCTTCTGGCCTTGACGAAATTGTCGCCAGAGACATTTAAACGTAAACTTGAGCCTAAGACCCATTTGTCTGATGACATCAAGTAGTCAGGCTCTTTTGGAAAAGATGACTTTACCAAGTTGCTTTTGATTCCAGAACTTAATGAGGGCCACTCGGGGTCCCAGTTCCAGAGTCCTTGTTAATCATGATCGCATGCTAAGATCTGCAAAAAGGGAAGAGAGTTTTATTCTTGGTGGCATGTCTGGGTGGTGTTTCATACGCATTGTCCTATTCAGTGAGGCTGGTGTAGGAGAAATAAAGAAAAAGTCTACGTTTTGTTTAAAATATCAGCGTTAGGCTTAGGCGAAGCTCAGGACACCAGCCTCCACTTACCTCACAGAATTACCCCTCTGCAGTGGTTACTCTTATGTGTCAATTTGACTGGGTCCTGGGGTGCCCAGGTTAACATTATTTCTGTGCCTGTGAGGGTTTTTCTGGATGAGATTAGCATTTGAATCAGCGGTCTCAGTAACATAGACTGTCCTCCCCAATGGGGTCAGCATTATCCAATCCACTTACGGGCCTGAACAGGAACAGAAGGCAGCGGAAGGGCGGGCTGCTCCCTGCTTGCCATCCTCCCTTCTGCCTGCTTGTTGAGCGGGGACATCTGTCTTCTTCTGCCCTTGCGCTGAGAGCTACCCCTTCACTCCACTTGTTCTCAAGCCTTCAGACTTGGACCGAATGACACCGCTGGCTTTCCTGGGTCTCTAGCTTGCAGACAGCAGATAGTGAGACTTCTCAGCCTCCTTAATCATGTAAGCCAACATTTTCTTTTCTGTGTATTTGTCTCCTAGTGGTCCTGTTTCTCTGGAGAACCCTAATGCAACCCCCTGCTGATGAACGCTCAGCTCCTGCTTGGTGGCCACGTTCTAGCGTACTCACCCATCTGCCTCTACTGGAGTGACAGGCTGACCCACAGTCAGTCAGCTTTGTCTTCAGATCTGGTTTTTCTCATTAGGACCATTATTGGGAGCTCTCCACTTCTCTGGCAATGGTTCAACTTGATATTTTAAAGCCATACTTTTATTTTCTTCTTATAATTTCTCCAATGGAGTCAGAAGCTACCAACTTACCCCAGAATTTCTGTGGTCCCAATCCCCACTGCAGTGATCCAATTCAACCTTGGCCTCCGAAAGTCTTGCTTTGGATGGGCACTTCATTTCAGGGACTGGCAGCATAATCTAAGTAACTGTTTTGCCACTGCATCTGTGTATAGATACTGTCAGCATCCCACTTTTCCCTGACAACAATACCATCAGTGTGTTAACCCCCATCACATCATTTAACAAACCACATATTTCCTAACATACCACATATTCCCATATTTAGGCATTTATTTCCTGGGTGTTGTCTACTCACGGTTTCAAAGAGAATATTAATCTGTGTTTAATCAGCAAAACAAGCCACTGTAGGTATTTCAAACAGAGGCAATTTAATACATACACGTGTTTACAAAATTGTTGGTTGAACGAAGGGAGAAAGGTGCGCTAGAGTGAGAAGAGGATGTTCACATAAGGCCAGGAAGAGGCAACTGCTCCTGGCTGGGTCCGGAGACTCTGCTCTTGCCATGAAGTTGACGAGGTACTTCTGCTGTCACTGCCACTGTTAGAACTGCACCGGCGCCATTGAGCAGGGACCAGGGGCCTCCATCCCTCTGGTTTGGGCAGCTAGACTTCTTCATGACACGGGAAAATTGGCTTTTCTCTGCTCCTGCCTTCTAATCTGGCCAATGCTGCCCACTGGTAGAGACAGGTAGAAAGCTAGATGGCACAGGGCTGGGGACACGTGGTTTGCAAGTTTCAACTCCTGATGTCACAGAAGAGATCATAGAAGGACAAGTGTGTGCTCATTCTCAGGATGATATTGGAAGAGCACGTCTTCAAAATGAGAGAGAAAACCAATAACGAGAATGGCTTGGGATTTGAGAGACAGGAGATTCAACATAAGAAAGAGGCACTGGGAATGTTCAATAAGGTGGAAAAAGGTGAACCTGGGGCAACAGCTGTGCATCAGGCCTAAGGATCAGCCAGGCCTCACTGGGAGCAGGAGGGCTGAAGGCTGCGGGTGGGAGGTCCCTCAGGAAGAAGGAGCAGGAACCCATCTGTGATGTGTTAGGATGCATCGAGAGGAGATTTATTCTGTCAGAGAGTTGGGGGGAAATTAATGCTGAATTCATAGAAAACAAAGCAATAAAAACCCAGGGTCAGGAAAAACAGAATGTGAAATAAAGGAAGTGTAATCATAGTATCGTATGTGGCCCAGCTTTTTATAATAGTTACATAGCCTTAAGGATGTGAATGTTGACTATATGATTTAATATAAATGTGATAAAATGAAGTTTGAAGGAAAGACGGAAGTTATGTGTTGGGATGACGGGAGGGGTGACGAGAACTAAATCTTCATCTTTTATATTAAAAAGTCAATAGGTAATATTAAAAACTAAAAAAATCAAGAAATGTCAGTATAAAGCAAGTTATTCAGATAATGAAGATAAATCTCAGGGAAAAACAGCTGAAATAGTTGAGAACTATCTCTGAGGAGTTGGTAGAGGTAGAATAGGGTAAGGAACTTTTGTTTTTCATTATAGGTCTTGTAGTATTTAGCTCTTAAAAATCTACTTTCTATATTTGGTAAAATATTAATATATTTTAAATCTACAAATTTTGAGAAATTTTTACCAGACGGAAACATTATCACCTCTGGTTGAATAATGCCAACTTGAACACTGCTTTTTACTGAACTCTTCTCAAGATCTTTTGTGGAAGGCACACATTTGTACTTATCCAGTCTGGATAGACAGTGATTACTCATTTTGTGTTCCTAATTAATGTATTTTAGTTTCCCTTAAAGTCTAAATCAGATAATAATGTTTAAAATTTTCTTCACATGTGTTACTGCAAGGACTATTTAAAGTTCCTGATATACATTCTGAACAGCCTGATAATGCTTTGGATATTTTATTTCTTTAATAGGCTCTCTGCTCCCAACTTTATTGCTTTTTGGATCTTTTTTGTTTCCTTGGCCCACAATTCCCATATGTGTTTTTGTTTGATATTATTGTAGAGAAGGGAATAAAATAAAGAAATACAAAGACAGGGGCCGGCTGAGTGGCTCAGTTGGTTAAGAGCTCGCTCAAGAGTTTGAGCTCTGAGCAACAGCGGTTCGAGTCCAGCCCGAGCTGAGCAGCCGCTGAGCTGCCAACAGGTAGCAGGATGGCTCAGCTAAAAAAAAAAAAAAAAAAAAGAAATACAAAGACAGAAGAAAAAAAAATCCCAGAAAACCAATAGCCATTGTCCAAGGAAATCAGGGAATAGAGTGAGCTGGAGGGGTTTGCAGGATCATGCCCACAGGTAGATTTTTATAAGTAGTACAACAAATTCCATTTGGTCATTGATCTAGGTTAATAGGGTTCAAAAAGAAGTAAGGTTGGATTGTATGGGATTTGTGATGAGAGTAGAAATCTCTGATTCTGGCCTTGTATTTTCAGAGCAAAACCATAGCAGGTCTCTGTTAGTTTAGTGGAATGTCTTGTTTCTTGACTTGGAGATAAATCATGTTTTCTTTGTTTTTTCTTGGTCTGCAATAATAAAACAAAAATGGAGAGGGGGAGAAAGAAATTATGAGAAAGCTGAAAACCAAAATAAAGTGGATAATAAAGAAATAGAACAACAAATGGGTACAAGCTTTGTCCAAGATGAGTCTTGCAATGGGTTTTGAGTGGCGATTCTCAAAAAGAAAATGTATAGGAGCTAGGTGAGTAACTGATGTGGATGGAGTGGTTCCGAAAACTCTGTTTGAGGAGTGGGCCTGGCTTAAGTTCCTTATTTAATTAAGGTTTTCTACACTGTAATAAATAATGTGGAAAATGCCTAAAGGTAATCATAACAGTTAAAAAGGAAGATTGCAAAATCTAGGCACTGTTATCATCAGTTCTCCAAATAGAATATGAGAAATTATTTTTACTAAAGTTCATTTACTTTTCAACAGTTGGACAAGTGAAAAATCAACTCAAAAATTTGTTCCCATTGAAAGTTTTCTCAGCCATCTTATCTTTATGAATACCAGCATGTTGCTGATATTCATAGAAATCCTGCTTTTTCCATTTTGTTGTTCCAAGACATGTTCTTTCGACATGTTCCCATTGATAGTAATGTTGAGATATGGTGTGGGGCTGCTACTGGATTCCCAAGCTCCTTATAGAAATCCCCCCACATGGAGGTACTTAGTCCTGCCTCAGTTTCTGGGCCAATGTGAGATGGGGAGAGTAGAAGAAGCTTATCTGAATCACTCAGTGGTGCCTGAGTCCTGTCAGATTCCAAGTGTAAAGGTCCAAGCAAGTCTGCTGAGCTATGAGAGTGTTTATGCCAACAACAACAACAACAACAACAACAACAACAACAAAAGCAGCAATAGCAACAACAATAGCAGCAGCAACAAAAACAGGAGCAGCATCAATAACAGCAGTCACAACAACAGCAGCAGCAACAATAGCAACAGCAATGGCAGCAACAATAGCAACAACAGTAGAAGCAGCAAGAACAGTAACAACAGTGACAACAACAGCAGTGACAACAACAACAACAACAACAGGGGGAACAACAACAATAACAGCAGCAGCAACAACAACAGCAGTGACAGCAGCAGCAAAAGCAGAAACAACAATAATGGGAATGACAATCGCAACAGCAGCAGCAACAAAAACAGGAGCAGCACCAACAAAAACAGCAGTAACGGCAGCAACAACAGCTACAGCAACAATGGCAACAACTATAGCAACAATAACAGTAGTAGCAGCAATAGTAGCAACAACAGTGACAACAGCAGCAACAGCAGTGACAATAACAACAG